ACACACACACACACACACACACACACACACACACACACACATATATATATATACACACACACACATATATACATACACACACACACATATATATATATAAAATATCAAAACATTAGGAAAATGTCATAAGGGAGATGTGTTCATTGAAAGGAATCTAAAAGGGGCGAGCTGTTCTCTTTGTTTTATAACCTGTGGGCTGCGCAACCTAGATTTACTTAATCTAAAAACTTCTGTTTTTTCCTCCCTTTTGGGGCAGGGGGAATAGAGAAATGTTTTGAAAGCAGATTCTTACTTAAGAAAATTTCAGTGGGTGAGAACAGAATAGGTTTTGTTGTTGTTTCCAATTGAAAATTATTCTCAGAGTTTCAAGAATATTTTAAAAACCACCCCTGAGACAAATTTTCTGTAGTCTGACTGGTAGGTAGACTCTCAGCACACTACTTTTTCTTGAAGATGTGGAGTGAAAAGCAAGGGAGTTACAGCTAGTGTCTAATTCCTTCTGTTTTCTATGACCAGGACACTTAAAACAGTTCAGATTTTACACCAGCAGAATACAGAATACTCAAGTTGAATTTTATTCTGTTACAACTAAAAAAAACAACAGGATTTTATGCAGCTACATTGGCTCCAACATGTATTCTGTTGTCTCAGACAGCTAACTTGAACAAACCAGAGTAAAGCATGCTCTTGTTTAGTTACTAAATCTGGTAAAACTACTAACTTACTTCTTACTTTCTTACTCATCCAGAGGGTACTCTCCAGGAAAAATGACATGTTAACTCACTGTTCAAACCTGGTTGTTAACGCATAACCTTCAATAAGAATCTCTCCCTCATTTTTCTGACTTCTGATATCTGATATTTGAAGTTAGTACCTTTACTAACCTTCCAGATTACCAGTAGCTAGCTGCCCACAGCTCAGATATGTATGATCAGAGGTGAAGAAAAAGCGGTGCTCCTCAAACACCAACTTATGATTATCACATTTTAGAGTAAATCACTGGTTACATTATTTGGCTGATATACAGTGTAGGACTTGCAGGCATGCCTAGTTGAGTGATGCATCCTGCATGAAGACCTGATAGTGATCACTCAGATAGATCTGAGTGATCCATACTGAAATGTTCCAGTCATGCTACTACCTAAAGAATGCACCCCAGAGCCTCTGTAGTCATAATACCACTTGACCTAATATAGGATTCAGACACTACTGCCTTTGATAACTGACTCTATCATGACTATTTCCATTCTAGAGGAGTGATGCAGCACTGCAGGCAAACGTTAAAGAGCAGCACTGCAGGCAAACTTTGCCCACAGCCTGGAGTTCAATCTTTCAAGGTTGACACAGCCTCTCATCCTTCTGAGGTTGGTAAAATGAGGACCCAGATTGCTGGGGACAATATGCAAATAATGCTTTTACATTGTAAACTGTCCAAGGAATGCTGTAAAGCACTATGGGGCAGTATATAAGCCTAAAACATTACTGTTATTGATATACTTCAAGCAAGGTTTTGATGGGCATCAATCATGGATCAGTTAGAGTATGTTTATCCTGAGCCTATCCATCAGCGCTCCCCAAACTTTTTTCCTTCATTACCCAAAACTGCTTATCAGAAATCTCTTATTTAAATGTCCCTGTGGTGATTGAGTAATGGGTTTGTGTATCATTATCCAAAGAAAAACCACTTTTCTTAAATTTTGGGTAATTTACCCAGGTTTGGAAGAAGTACTGCTATTATAAACACTACACAGAGCACATACTGCATTTGTGGATAAATCCAGGAGCATTAGGCTTGTCCCAAATTCAACAGACTGAGCACAGCTCTGCTCTTTGAGGAGCCAATGGGGCTGAATTAGGAGCTAGTGAATGGATTGGCTCCTTGGAATTCTTCTCCAAATTAAGGAGAGAACAAGGATCACCCATGTTTGGCTCTATACAGAAACTCCCTACAGCCTTCATGAAACAGTCTTCATCAGCAGATTTGAGAGGTCTGGAGGCTGGGGGAACTGTGCCTAAGCCACAGTTTGTCACTTTTCAGAGATAGTGGGTTCGCCTATTTTCTCTCTTAACTACTTTAGGAAGTTGCATGTTATACGTTTCTTTGGAGTTAAGAACCTTCAGAAAGGCAAGTATATTGCATCCCTGGGAAAAAACTCCTTCTATCCTGGATGAAAGAAACTCCAATGCAAAAAGAGGAATAGAGGAATTTTAAAAAAAATGCTGTTTACAAAAGTTGTATGGTGAAATATGCTGTGGATCTGAAAATGGATTTTAGAATGTTTGTGTATAAGAGTGATATGGAAAACAACGCCAAAATTGATTTACAAATGAAACAGTTGGATGTCTTAATAATTAAAGGGCGCATACAAATAATAAATCAGAAGAGTGAGCTGGAAAGCTTTTTTATCGCTATTTACAAAAGGACTGTATGAAACCAAGGAGAGGAGACAAAGAGAAACGTCTGCAGCTGTCCTTGAAAGAAGACAAAGAGAAAATGTTAAGGAATCAATGTGGGCCACTATTTGATGGGACAAAAGATAGAACATTTTTTAAAATAGAAAAGTTATAAAATGAATCTGCTCAATCAAGATTATATATATATATATATATATATACATATATATATATATATATATATGCTATTATTTCTGATTTATTTATAATGGGATTTCAGCTTGACCAGGACTGAATCATAAGAAAGCTATTTTTTTAAACTGAAGTACAAGAAAAGATGTTAAGATGTTGCCTGGAGGAAGGGGGAAGTCATCTTGTATTTATTTGTTTTTCTTTTTTCATATCTCTTTTTACTTTTAGTTTTTATCTTTTCTTTAATTCAGTTTAGATTTTGATCTTTGTATTTGTAAACCTTAATAAAATTATTGTAAAAAAACAAACTCTCAATGTTTCCCAAAGCAGTATGAATTACTTCTCATACTGGGCTAATAAAACAGGGAACTGATGCAACCTATTATGTCTTCATAAAGAAGACATAGAGCTTTTAGCTCTAGACAAAAAATAGTGGGAAGAAAGCAGATAGGAGTAAATTTGTAAACAGGGTACTAGTTGCAATTATGTTGTAACCGTAACCTTTCTTCTACTAAAAATTATTAAGCAAGATTCTTGTTCTATGAATTAACTGTTGCCTCTTTAGACTTCAAGGAAAGAAATCTGACAAGCTGGTAAACGCTTGGGATCATTCAGCTTTTGTTACATTAATATATGGAATACTTGACACCCCACACGTTATTCCATAGGAACTCTATGGGGAGCTTTTATTTTGTGCACAACCATATACAATAGTTGGAGAAATCCTGCCTGGCACTATACTTTCAAAATTGTGGGAACAGTGTCTAAATAATGTGGAGGACATCAGATTGGGGAATACTTCAATAGAGATTGGTTCTAGTGAAGCTTTATGTCAGAACAGTTCAGAAAGGAGAAGTAATAATCTCCATCTTGCTAGATCTATTGGAATTTCTCTTTTTCAGAAAGTACAAATCTCATCATCTCCTTTTCTTGACCATCAGAAGTATTTACACTGTGTTATTTCTATAGGTTAGAGCACAGATAGACACCCACCTCTGGTGGCTATAAATGGCCAACTGGGTCTCTACTGGCTTTTGGGGGCAAGCCAACGTTTGCAATAGTAGATTTAATATTTCTGCTTACTTCAGTTCAGAAGGGGCTTTTTAAAACATATTAAGTCAAGTTTAGGCTTACATTGTAATTTTTAATAGTATAAAAAATTGAGACAGGGCTAGAAAAAAAGGGGGGGATCCTGTTCTGAGATTTCAATTGACTAAAACCTGGATTATCACGAGAGTTCATTCTTTACTGACAAAAGGAAGGAAAACAGCAGCATTTCGAATATCTTGTACTAGTATGTTTTTAATCACTGAAGTACCAATAATCCTTAAATATGGATACAACATATTAATTAAAAAGTGAATAATTGTAAGTATGTACATTTTGTTATTCATTTTAAGAACAAAAAGACTCCTTAATCCCCAACTCCCTTTCTCATTCTCACGTTTAATGTAAATATCAGGAAACAGACTCAGATTTAAACAGTTCTAAAAGCAAGCCTAGAAGTACTCTGGTCCATTGTTTAGTTTGTTTCCAGGAAATCTTGCTTTCTGTCCTTGTTTCCAGATTTTATTTATTTATTTGATTTGTATCCTGCCTTTATTATTGTCTATAAATAACTCAAGGTGGCAAACATATCCAGCTCACCTTCTTCCTCCTATTTTCCCCACAACAACAATCCTGTGAGGTAGTTTGGACTAAGAGTTTGTGTGACTGGCCCAAAGTCATCCAGCCAGATTACTTTGGTAACCCAAGGAACCGTCACATCATCAGGCCAAAATTTTAAAGACATCTACAAAAAGGAGGAACCCATTGATTGCAGTCCTTTTTGGTAAAACAGAAACAGAGTCAATTACTATTAGGAAAATGTTTGATGAGGGGAAAAAAATCCTATGCAGAACAAGATTAAGCACCAGTGAGACCAATTAATGGAATGTAAATTAGGTTCTTAATGCTTTCCCTTTTAAGAAAAAAAATTGCAGTGCTGAACTTCTAAACACCTTTTAATTTGCCCTTGCTCTTTAGACACGATGAAATACATCGCATAGCTAGGAACTGATACTTAAAAGGAAAAAAAAAGTTGAGACTGAGTTCACAGGGACACAGAGACATCCAAGAAAATAACGTCTCAGAGCTGAACTTGCCAATTGTTTTGTTAGCTGAAATAAATGGGAACTGTCTGTGCAAAGAATGTCCCTTTAGCAGTTCAGAATGAACTTCAGGCCTGGGTTCCATTTTGTCTTTTGTAAGTGTTAAGACGTTCAATGTTATAGTGAACTGACAAATTTTAAATACCTACATTAAAAAAAAACAAGTACAGCATTGATGTTAATGTGTGAAAAGGGTCCCAATCCCCGGGAGCCAGAATTCCCACAATTGTCCACTGTGGTAACAGGATATAATTGCTTACTTACTTGGCAGCAAACTTTACCATCTGCTTACTTGCATGGTCTCCCACAGCCACTAAAGCCTGGATGTTAAACTGTTGCTGACGTATGACTAAGAAACACTGTTTTCCTGAAAAGAAAGACGAAGAAATAATGCAAGTGTTTCCAGGACAAATTACATGGGAAGTTTCTGAATGAATTTTTTTTTAAAAATGGTCTATTCCTTTAATATCAGGCTAGGCTTTAGACGTATAAAGCAAAGTACAATCACAGACATGTACTGCATAGTCTTTGCTGCGGCTTTTCCACAATAATCTTGAATTTATTTTTCTTATTTTTGTTAAAGGAAAGTGTCCTTCAGGAAAAAAAATATCAGGAGATAGTATATACAACATTTCAGAAAAAAGCTCAGACTTACTTTTGCTAAACGATAAAAATAATATGATGTAAAGAATAATGTAGTTACTTATTTGTAAAGATATGCAAACATTTTAGATGAAGATACACAAAGCAAGGCAATACCTCCAGATCTAAGGTAACTAAGGTTTAAAGCAGAATAGGCTGATTCTGAGGTTTCTAATCCGCTTCAGTGGTTTTACCTTTCTGACTTAATTTGGCACATTCAAAGCACTTAATAAATATCATTGAACAGAAGGGAGAAGACAGACACTGAACAAACACAGATGCTTTTTCAGTTACTTCTTTAATACAGAGTTAAGCAACCTGATGCTTTGCAGATATTTTAAACCACAATTAGAACTGAAGGCTACAGGTTGCAGATTCATGCCCCATTCTTTGCTAGACTATAATTTACTTCAGGTAGAGCGATAGCAATAGCAATGTCAAGCAAAGCCTCCAGAGCTGGCTTTCTATAGGTTTTCTCCAGTACCCTATGTTGGATGAGCATTTATCATTTTAATTTGGCTATTCCAAGATGTCAAAAATGACATTCAGCATCCAGTTCTGCCTTCTCCAACTCATCTACCATTTCTTCCCGGTTGCCCAGTACAAAAATGGCATCATAATTGTGAATCAAGCTCTATAAACAGGTAGCTTAATCTGGATTGGTTATCGGGTTAAAAATACTCTAATCTTTCTCTTACCTATGTCTCTTTTGACAGATTTGGTTTCAAAAAGGAATCTTGGCCTATGGTATACTTGTTTCAAGTAACAGTAATAAATAAAAATCACAAACAAAAAAGATGAACTCAAATATTTAACACGTGTATCAACTATAGCAAATAAATACTTTATGAAGAAAAAAATAAAACCGAAGATCATATAATTAGTGGATGTAGCAACACTGCTCAAACAACATCTTGACAGAATAGTCACTATGATTCTTGAGCATCTGTACAAAAAAAATAAAGTTACACATTTCCAGAAGGTAATATGACCACAAAATTGAGCAAGCAGTTGAAAATTATGCTAAAATTTTGTGGGATTTTCACTTACAAACTGATTGCCTTCTACAACACAATACACCTGATGTCACAATAATTAAAAAGAGTAATTAAGAGATATAGCTAAACCTGGGAACAAAAGAATCAAGGAAAAAAGAACTGGGAAAAGATGAAATATAGATTTAACATTCAAAATACATAGATTATGGATAAAATTTGCAGTGTCATTCCTACAGTTATTGGCAGTGGGTGAAATTAAAACAGATTAAATATATTTAACAAGAATTAAATATTTGTACTATATCAGCTACATATTTGCAAAAAAAAATAATAATGGGGACATGTTATATCTTATAATATTACTTGGATAATTCCTAGGTTCCTGGCTAGAACTCAAATTTTCAAAGAATACCAGTGAAAGATGTGATTTTGTGTCTTTCATTGTGCTTTGTTATTTCTAATAATAACACTTAGTAGAATAATAACAATATAAATAATATTTTGGGAATTTTCTGTTAATGCCTTATTGTAGGTTAGTTAGCAAGTTATGCCATATAACAGAACAGATATTGTACTAAAAGGAGTTTCTCAAATTCATTTTCAATTAATTTTTAAATATGAACCTGCAATTAACCCTACTCCATAATATACTTTTATATATAATTTTTTATTCAAAAGATTAAAATACAAACTGCAAAAAAAAATACAAAAACAAAGCAAAATTAGCTAAAACAAAAAATGTGCATAAAAAGAAAAAAAAATCAAGCATGCACATTGTCTCTCCTAGTTGAATACTGATAAATGTATTTTAAGAATAATGGTTTCCTCCCCTTGTGAAACAAGCCCAGTTTATGAACTTCCAAGACTCTCTTTGACCTGGCATCTATCTACTATATAGAAATAATATAGAAACATATGAAAAGAGACATTTATTCAGATACTATAAACTCAACATCATGAAGAAATCTGTAAATCAATACAAGAGCTTTGAATTGGGCCTCAAAAATACTGGGAACCAAGGAACAACATTACTATCATAATCATAAATATTAATTCCAGTTATTGTATTTAATACCAATTGAAGTTTCCAAACTATGTTTATGGAAAACTCACAAAAAGCAAAGTACAATAATCTAACTGAAAGTATATGAGGGTATGGATAGTGCACTAAAGTCTTTTGTATCAGACAGAATTATATCTAGGATTTCACCCCAAGACATTTTGTGCCACAGAGGTCACTTCTACGGCAGCTTGTGCAAACATCCACCATGGTCCCTTCCTGAAACAACTCCATTCAATGGAACATGGTGGTACAAAGTAGAATATTTTTTCAGAATAGTGAACTAGACTACCTTCAACCCTACAGCATTTAAATTGCATTATTATTATTTATTTATTTTATTTATGTCAAGTACGTATTAGATAATATATATATATAAGCATGAATTGAATACATAAAATGAATACAAATAAAAGGAACATTAGGACAGGGACGGTAGGCACGCTGGTGCTCTTATGCACGCCCCTTATATATTATATTATATAAGTCTCCCTTGTCTCCAATAGTAATGTCTCCTGAGAGATGCTGTGAGGGAGCAATTGGGAAGAAAATAAAAAAAATCAGGACAATAAAAATGCTTATGATGTCTATTTTATACTTTGAATAGGACAGAACAGGACTTTATTGACCTGTTAACAGTTCCCCTAAAGAAGTAATTATGATTTTTATAGGGGGTCACCTTGGGGAAACCAACTGGAAGCTGTTAAGACAGTAACAGGTGCAGAAGTATGCACTGAGACTAGGGAGGCATGGAAGACTGGCTCCTCTGGACTCCCTGGGGTATAAGAGAGAGGGAAGGAGAAACCCAGGCAGACTTGCAAGATTTTATTACTACAGTATTGTATGTCTCAGTAATATACAATTCTAGTCTTCCTATGGAGTCAGTTTCCAGATCTGGTCTACCTAGTAGGGATGAGAATTAAGATGTATTCCTTGATCAAGCTTTGATATTCTAGGTCCATGTGAGCAAAGTGGCAATTTTTAAATCTTGATGATTTGTTAGTTGAAACTCCTCTTGCATCAGAGCAACCCACATTTTAGTGAACTATGCTATAAGGCTTTTAACATTAACATTTTGTCAAGACTTCCCTATTTCAATTTGGAACTGAATGTGACTGTCCAGTTATTAAGTTGTAGTACAAGTCAATATGCTTTATAATCTGCATTGGCTTTCTTTTTATTTGTAGCACCTTAAAACCTCATTCTTTTTGAAGAATGCCACATGTTATTAGATCATCTTCACTGATTGTTTAATTGTATTGTTTTAACAGCTTCTGCTTTATACTTTAATCTACTTGATGATAAACCTTTGTAATATCACTTAAACAATTTTCCAATCTATAAATACATAATAAAACTGAGAAATACATAAGCCTACTGAGCCTTCTGTTGATAAATCAACTTTTTAGTCTGTAAATCAGAATATTGTTATATGCGTTCTAAACTTTCACTTCACTATTACAGTACTTAATTGCACAATGTGAGGCTCATGAAATTAACTCAAAATAAAATCTTACTAAAAGCAAAAATAAAAAAATCCTAAACTTTTATTTTAACAATTAACTTGACTATGGATTATTATTCTACTACACTTAAGGAAGGACAACCAAATCTTCCAAAGAATTTCATATTATTTTTAAAAGTATTCCATTCCATGAATTGCAGTAATCGACAGTTTCTAAAACATTTATTTTTTTATGTATAAGTGACATTTTTATCTCTTTAAAGGTGAAGGAAAATCACCATCTTCCTCACTACAACGATGCTGCCCAATTTTTATAAGTCACAAAAGTTGAAAAGTTGCCATAGTTGTTAAACGAATCTTTGCAGTTGCTAACTTAGTAGTACAGTTCTTAAGTGAATCTGGCTTCCCCATTGACTTTGCTTGTCAGAAGGTTGCAAATGTGATCACATGATCCTGGATCACTTTATAAATACATGCCAGTGCCAAGCATAGAAATTTTGATCTTGTGACCATGGGGAACCTGCATCACTCATAAGTGCAAAAATGGTCACAAATCACTTTTTGGAATGTTGTTCTTCGAAAGGTCACTAAAAGAATGGTTGTAAATCGAGGACTTCCTATACTGAATTGATATGCTTATTCATCAACAGAATTTTAACAGAAAATAATTAGCAGCGGGATGAAATCAAAGACGATATTGAAGAACAAACCTATTTACAGTTGCAAGAAAAAGTATGTGAACCCCTTGGGATTACGTGGAGTTTTGCATGAATTGGTCATAAAATGTGCTCTGAACTTCATCTAAGTCATAACAATAGAAAAACACAGTCTGGTTAAAATAATACTACACAAACATTAGATGTTGCCATGGTTTAATTGAACATAACATGTAAACATTCACAGTGCAGGGAGGAAAAAGTATGTGAACCTTTGGACTTAATAACTGGTTGACCCTCCTTTGGCAGCAATAACCTCAACCAAATGTTTCCTGTAGTTGCAGATCAGACCTGTACAACGATGTGGAGTAATTTTGGACCACTCCTCTTCACAAAACTGTTTCAGTGTAGCAATATTCTTGGGATGTCTGGTGTGAATCGCTCTCTTAAGGTCATGCCACAGCATTTCAATCGGGTTGAGGTCAGGACTCTGACTGGGCCACTCCAGAAGGCGTATTCTGTGCTGTTGAAGCCATTTTTTTGTTGAATTACTTGTATGCTTTGGGTCATTGTCCTGTTGCATCACCCATCCTCTGTGGAGCTTCAGTTGGCAGACAGATGGTCGTACATTTTCCTGCAAAATGTCTTGATAAACTCTGGAATTCATTTTCCCATCAACGACAACAATCCGTCCAGGCCCTGAGGCTGCAAAGCAGCCCCAAACCATGATGCTCCCTCCGCCATGTTACAGTGGGGATGAGGTTTTGATGTTGGTGTGCTGTGCCTTTTTTTCTCCACACATAGTGTTGTGTGTTCTTCCCAAACAACTCAATTTTGGTTTCATCTGTCCACAGTATATTTTGCCAATAGTGCTGTGGAACATCCAGGTGCTCTTTTGCAAACTTCAAACGTGCTGCAATATTTTTTTTGGACAGCAATGGCTTCCTCCGTGGTATCCTCCCATGTCCTCCATTCTTGTTTAATGTTTTCCTTATTGTAGATGTGTCAACAAAAATGTTAGCATGTGCCAGAGATTTCTGTAGGTCTTTAGCTGACACTCTAAGATTCTTCTTTACCTCATGAAGCATTCTGCGCTGTGCTCTTGCAGACATTTTTACAGGATGACCACGCCTAGGGAGAGTAGCAACAGTGCTAAACTTTCTCCATTTGTAGACAGTCTGTCTTACCATGGACACATGAACATCAAGGCTTTTGGAGATACTTTTGTAACCCTTTCCAGCTTCATGCAAGTCAACAATTCTTGATCATAGGTCTTCTGAGAGCTCTTTTCTGCGAGGCATGGTTCACATCAGACAGTGCTTCTTGAAACCAGTAAACCCAAAACAGGTGTGTTTGTTTAAAGGGCAGGACAGCTGTCAGCAACACATCCAATATCATCACACTGATTGGAGTCAAGGTTGGCTCACTCCTGGCTCCAATTAGCTCTTGGAGAAGTCATTAGGCTAGGGGCTCACATACTTTTTCCTCCCTGCACTGTGAATGTTTACATGTTATGTTCAATTAAACCATGGCAACATCTAATGTTTGTGTAGTATTATTTTAAGCAGACTGTGTTTTTCTATTGTTGTGACTTAGATGAAGTTCAGAGCACATTTTATGACCAATTCATGCAAAACTCCACGTAATCCCAAGGGGTTCACATACTTTTTCTTGCAACTCTACATATAAATATACAACACCTCTATAATTCTAGGAATTACTCAACTTCCTTGACCTGTTTTAAGAAGTTTTGTTAAAGAAATACATTTCCTAAAATTGTGAATCAGCTTCTGCAGAAATTGATACTAGCTCTAAAACTAAGGGAGAACTAAGGGAACCCAAAGGAGACTCAATCTGAAAGTTTTGAGTTATTATCAGTCCAACAGTTCAGGATACAGTATTATAGCTTACACCAAGAAAATAGGGGAATTCCTTTTTTCCCCAACTGCTTACCAGGATCTACCTATTGGAAATCTCATATAGTAAAAGCTTAGACTTGGAATAATTTTTTTTTAAAATTTGATTTATATGCCGCCCTTCTCCGGAGACTCAGGGCGGCTTACAATGTGTTAAGCAATAGCCTTCATACTTTTGTATATTTATACAAAGTCAGTTTATTGCCCCCACAAACTGGGTCCTCAATTTACCTACCTTAGAAAGGATGGAAGGTTGAGTCAACCTTGAGCCTGCTGAGATTCGAACTTACAGTAATTGCAGACAGCTGGTGTTAATCACAATGCTATCAGTCTGCTGAACCACCAGGCCCTATAATGAACATGGCTCTAACCAATCCAATTACTAAAAGCAAAATTAGTGTCACAATACAAGAATGTGAACTGACAGTGGCTGGCTCTGTTCACAGACTTGATGAGCCACAGAATGAATGCTCTTAACATTTGTTTGTATCCTACTTTTCAGAGGTATATATATGATTTTCACAGAATTAGTGGCACAAAATAATATGTCATTTAATCTACTTTACTATAGAACTATAACGTACAACCCTGTTTGTTGTTTCCAGCATCAATAAAATGTTTTTTTTAAAAAAAGAAACAGGCTTTTGTCCTAACTACTGTGATCTTATATAACACTGTTTTTGTCTATAGAAATAAATTTTGACCAACACAACTGTTAGTTTCAGATGTCACCTAAAGATGTCAAAACATATTTAAAGTTTGTGTGCTAGAAGCAGATGTCCAAGAAAACTTGTTTCCATAGTGAAGAAAAATGACAGGCAGGTGGGTCTGCATAAGACATAGTATGGAGCTCAGACTGAGAACTTCCTCTGAGGTCGCTGTTAAGAGCAGATTTCTTTTCTTTTTTCTTTAAAGAACTGAACTGAAGCATTTGCATTTGTACAACATGAAAGCTCAATTTGTTCCAGAGTTTCCCATTTCTTTAAACTGTATGATAGTACATAAAAAGCCATGATTTTAGCTTGAAAAAAAGAAATTCTAGCATGACTAATTAATTCAGGAATGCTTTGAGACTTTAAATCTAAATGAATTCTAAATATTTTTATGACCTTAATGACGTTTAAAAGGGTACTTAGCTGTATTCTCATCACAAAAAAGTTTACCAGTTGTAAAATCCAACATAACAATTAAAGTAAATATACATGTTTATTGTAGAAGTGTTCACAAAACTTCAGAATTAAGAGAATGTGCTTTTCTTATTTAAAAAAATCCATAAAAATCCATGAGGAGAAGAGTAGAAAAAAGGAGGCAGAAACCTAGAGCATCTACTATCAGAATTATAATCTAGAAGCCAACACTTTGTCATGTTACACCTGTCTAGAACATGGCATTCCCACGGTCTCATCCAAAATATCATGCTGACACATATATCTCCTGTATTGTTCCCATGAGCAAACTTCCCAGGCTGCTATTTCAAACAGAAGATGGGAACACTTTACTATCTTAGTCCTTTTATCAATTGTAACTAGCAGCTACAATTATTAAAAATATTTGTATTTGCTTAACTCAAGTTGTGCTTGACATAACCTGGAATTCTGATTTGCAAACTTCCTATGCTATTAACTAATTTTCCTGGGTATTTAGCCTTTAACAAGTTGCTCTAGAAATGACTAAAGTCACTCACATCCAAATTATTTCTCATCTGGATTATTGTAAGGTGCTCCATATGGGGTTGCCCTTGAAGCTATCACTGGTCCAGAAATTATACATGACTTTTCTCTTCTATGAGGTGCATAATTTACCAGTGTGCTTCTGGTACAATTTGTTAATTGTCATCTATAAGTCATATAAAGTTGTATATGACTTTTAAAAGAGTTATTTGTGGCATTGTCCTTCTCCAATTGTCTTTGCCTGCCCTGTAAGATCTCACAGAGTGGGCATATTCTGGGTTCTATCAACTAAATAGTACATCCTGTCATACCTCCTTCTGTTACTGTCACCACTATCTGGAATACCATCTTCCCAGAGGCCAGAGAAATTTGTGATCCTAACTGGTGGATGATGGGTAGCTAGTATTTTTACCTGTATTTTTTTCACCCCAAATTTTCTGTTTCAGAGGATTCCAATTTATTTTATGATTTTTAACATTCACACCATCTTGAGTTTTTGAATTTGGTGATGTTTAAAAGCAAAATAAATGTTATGCGCAGATCACAAGTATATGAATACGTGAAAAAGAACATATAGCAGCAATGGAAGTAGAAGTGGAAAAAGATAGGATGCATGGGATGTAAATACCTATAAAAAACACACCAGGGCAAGGAGATAATGCTTTAGCTTTTCTGACTCGTGACAATGTCAAAAGAAACCTTACCTTTTGCTCTACTAGTATGAATCCTGCCACGAACCCAAACAGTTTCATCAGCTTTCTCTCCTGTCAAATCCTTTATTCGTACCAACACACGATCTGCATATAAAAGACATGGTGACATATATTGAGAACACTTTATTCGTATTTACATGAAAAACTAGAAACAAAAACTAATTTGAGGCCACAACCAGCACTATATTACTTATTGTATCACTACTTCTCTGTATGTTTTACAGAATTTTGAAACTGACCTGGTTTTTCCTGTGACTGTATCATTGGCAATATTCCATACCTTTCTTTTGCATAATCCTGAAAAGAGAAGAGCAACAAATTATAATAAAGTGCCATAATCAAACAGTCATGCTTTGATATATTTCACTATAATTCCTGATAGGTGAACAACATATTCTACATATGAATCTTAGAATTAACTAATCTGCACACTAGCCTGAGATTCTGAAATATACAACAGTAATGGAGTTAAAAATAAATTCACCTCTGAGCACAAGATACATGAATCACTTACCATGTTACACATATATGTAATCACTTAGTAACATTCAGTCCTGTGTACTAAATTACTTTCATCATTTATTATTAGTGATAAGCACAGGAAAATGTGCACCATGTATGACTTCATTCTCTTTCAATTTTTGAAGCATGGTATAATTTGAACCCTCAGAACTGTATAATAACTATACTTCTCTACTATAATTATAAAAGGATGGAAAATAAGAGTTACTAATAGTAACAGATGTAATTCATGTATTCAGACATAACTTGTGAGAATGCACTACTTTCTGAAGAGAAACTGGACTATGGCATTCAATATCCCAGTTAATCTGAAGAACGTCAAACCAGTGGTGGGTTGCCCCTGGTTCGTACCGGTTCTATAGAACCGGTAGTAAAACCGGCAGAAGGCTCCACCTACTGACCCTGACATCATCAAAACGCTTTTGCGCATGCGCAAAAAAGCGTGCCTCCCCGCTGCGAACCAGTAGTAAAGGTAAGTAGAACCCACCCTGCTTCAAACCCTGAAACAGAGTTCATTGGTTATTTAGACTTGCACTTGACAGGTGTGCAAATGAAAATAAAATAAAGTATTCCCAGAAATAGGGCTATGCAAAATACGTCATGCACTAACTAAGGCATAAAAATAGAAAGGCAATCATAAAATGAATTGAAATTAAGATATTAACACTACAGTAAAATGTATGTCCTGAACAATGCAAACATGATGTGCAGCAAGTTTTGAACACATCATGCTCATGTTGGGGATTTTGGAAAGGAATATGTTTTTTAGGGATGCAATAAAGTTAGTTTGCAACTCAGGATATATGGCTAAAGAAAGGCCTGTCTGATGCCTGACAGCTACACCAGGCAGAGGAAAAGGCATTTTTGGTTTTCCAAATGCATCCATAAATAGAACTGAAATGAACAATCAATCTGAAACAGTAGATACATTCCTTTATTGAACTATGTTCAACTCCCATTTAGACAAACAATTTGATCCTTGCAGACCACTCATTACGAAGAACACTTTAAAAAGCAGTACATGTATCCAATTCTATATAACAACTGTGTAAGAATTAAAATCAGGATTTTAATAAATTCTGCTATAAAATAAAATTTGTGATAGCAAAAGAAACCTGAAAACAGCTTGAACAAACTTCTTGAGTAAGTACTATATGAACTTGAAGAAGTTCATACCATTTACACTTTGTAAACAAAAATGGTTCTGAACAGAATGTGACAAAAATACTTTTAGTACAGCAAGCTGTCATAAAGATATGCATTTGGACAAAATATTTTAATTTTACTAATGGGTACCCAGAACCTTTATTCATGGGTCCCAAATCCTTGATATAAACAGAGTATTTTCCAGGTCTATGTAAATTTCCTGTAGCAAATCTGTAGGAAGTTTCAAATAAGGGGAATAAAAGTCTACTGCTGTAAAACTTTCCCACATTTAAAGGACAGAACATCAAATCAGGGAAAACTTGCAGTGCAAACAGTGAACCCTAAATCAATTTTCTTTAAATATTACATAATTGTAAACACCAGGGTAACTTCGGTTTGCCTACTTTTAAGCCCATTCCTATTGCTTGCAAAAAAAAAAAAAAGTTGTATCTGGCTTTCATTTTGCTTTTTTACCATGACAGATTTTGAACAGAGATGTCCACTTCTCGGTGTTGCACATAACAGTGTTAGACACCTGCTTGGCTCTATTTTTAATTAATCTTGTCTCCTCAAAACCTATGTTTTCTCCCAAACTTAGTCTGAAAAAGGCTTCCTTTGTAATGTGCATACCTATTTTGCCTTGGTCTTTCTTTCTTTCTTTCTTTCTTTCTTTCTTTCTTTCTTTCTTTCTTTCTTTCTTTCTTCTTCTTCTTCTTCTTCTTCTTCTTTCTTTCTTTCTTTCTTTCTTTCTTTCTTTCTTTCTTTCTTTCTTTCTTTCTTTCTTTCTTTCTTTCTTTCTTTCTTTCTTTCTTTCTTTCTTCCTTCCTTCCTTCCTTCCTTCCTTCCTTCCTTCCTCTCTCTTTCTTCCTTCCTTCCCCTTTCTTCTCCTCTCCTCTCCTTTCCTTTCTCTCTCTCTCTCTTTCACACACACATACACAATACATGGCTTATCCAGATGAAACGTGACAATTTAAAAAGATGTTGAAGCCACCCCCCATGGGGGTATTCACCCTCATTTATTTGACCTATTTTGCTCCCAAACCTCTCTCAACGCCTACTTTCGCTTCCAGCCAATTCCCATGCCTTCTAAACGCAACCAGGAGCGGACAAAAGTGAAAAATGAGGTGAATGGAGAGTCTCGTCCGAAGGACAGCGAGGCGGCCTTGGAAAAGGCCCCAAGAGGGGGAAGGGAAGCCGTCAGGACCCCTCCACGGCTCAAGTTTTGTCCCAGGAGCGAGGTGACGGTTGGGGGCTTTTGGTCCACACGCTGGGCCTTTTGACATTTGCAACTCATCCTCCGCCTCCCCCTCCCCACCCCCGCAATACTCCTCGCCCACCGACCCTCCCTACCCACCGACCCACCCAGACCGCTTCCATCCCTTCGGAAACCCACATCGGCCGGCGGCGGCGGCTCCATTGGGCGGTCGCTATTCCGTTCTTGATTCTTACGAACGCCGGGCATTTTTACCACATGCAGCGAAAAGCGAAAGAGGCGGGGGCGGCGGAGTGGGCACGCGCACACTTTTTTTTTTTTTGTCCCCTCAAGCTTCCCGTAGCACCTGACAAAAGCCTTCCAGCGCCTGTCGCTGGATTCCCGGGGCTACTTTTTTTTTTTTTTTTTAACGCTCTCTCCGCGTGTCCTCCCGTACCACTTCCGGGCACGTAAAGCACGCCAGGGAGAGGCGAGCACGCTGTAAGCATTACGTCACGGGGGAATGAGTCTCCTCGCCTTTCAGGACCATCCTGCCTCTCCTCCCTCCCCCCCTCCCATCCAGGGAACGTTTTATCGCGAGCTTTGGAGAGTTCGCAACTCCACGTGTTGGTGCTGGTTGGTGGGTCATCTGTCTGTCTCTGTAGGGTTTGAGAACGGATATTCTGCACAGATTTGTGGAGGAAACCTGCCTATCCCGTTCAAGATACAATAAAACGATTATATTTCATTCTACTTAAAAAGTGTGAAAAATTGTCCTCTTATGCCTTATTTGCCCTCTTATGCAAGATTTCTGAGTGCACTGTTGTGTGATTGCGAATGAGTGACCCAGTGTACCTTCAGATACATTGTTTACCATACTTATTTTCCCATGCTGTTGAGCCCCAAAGTTACCATCCATAAAACTAAACAAACCACGCACAAATGTACAATTTAAAACTTAAGTCACATCCCCCTATGTGTGACATTGCACGCACACACAAAAACAGTGTTGATAATGGATAGCTATCCACTTGATAGCTGGATGAGTGAGAAAATGGTGAAATTTCCTTCCGGAAAGTTGAGACTTGGTATAGAGAAAGAGAGACTTTGGGGTTGAGATTGTTGGAAGAAATACCCAGGTCCAGATCCAACCCGGGAGAAAGGCACTGGAGACAAAATGGAGGCTGGAGTCTGATTGGAAATAAGTTTTAATGAAGAAACAACCACATGGATGGTCCTGGGTAGTTGACACATGGAGTTGAGAGTGGGGGGTATTTATACCTTCTCTTGGGCTTTGCACTTGAACTGTTCAAGAACATGTATTCTATTGGCTGTTGTCAGACTCCAGTGGGGCCATGTACAAATCCTAGGAGTTTGTCTGAGCTAAGTTTGGTTGAAGTTTGGGTTGATGCAATGAAGGGGCTTGTTGGGCAATTCCTATTGTGGCTGAAGGCCTCCCAGAGGGAGGCTCCACCCACCAACCCCGACATCATCAGAACACTTCTGTGCATGCGCAGAAGAGCGTGCACATGAGCGAAGCTAGCATGTGCGGCCCCGTTGCGAACCAGTAGTAAAGGTAAGTAGAACCCACCCCTGCTGAGCACTAATCCTACCTTTGTTCAGACCCTGGTGTAGGGAATTTTTGCCTATGAATAGAGCTACCTAGATCTCAATAAGCTCTTTATCTCTTAAGTGCTGACATCTGCTGAAGGATATTAAGAAAGATGGGAGCTGCTTTCTGTCTCCAAGAGCATGTTTCTCAATTTCTCATCCAGGGAAATATAATATTCTGCCTTTTTAAATATTTCTCAAAATATTTCATTCTTCTAGGAAAACGGTGGGTGCTAACTTTCTACAAGATAAAGTTTATTTTGGATGGGGTTATCCCTACAACAAAGAGTTTCTCAGTTCAGACTTATCAAAATTTTGTTAGAGCCTTTTGGACTCTTATCTCTTGTACTGCTAATTTCAAAATGAAGACAACTTGGTATTTTTGTAGATCATGGCTTCATATTGCTTTTTATCTCTACTGTAGTTGGCTCGAGAAGTAGCACACATTAACATTTAGTACTGTACACATAGTCCTCATTCAGCAACCACAGCTGGGACCAGTCAAGTGAATTGGTTGCTAAGAGAAAGTATGGCTGTGCTTATGATTTTTTTTTTTTAATTTGATTTATATGCCACCCTTCTCCGGAGACTCAGGGCGGCTTACAATGTGCTTAGCAATAGCCTTCATCCTTTTGTATATTTATACAAAGTCAGCTTATTGCCCCCACAACTGGGTCCTCAATTTACCTACCTTAGAAAGGATGGAAGGCTGAGTCAACTTTGAGCCTTGGCGAGATTCAAACCTGCAATAATTGCAGGCAGCTGGTCTTAATAACCAGCTTAAAACAGGGTGCCTTAGACCTCTGTACTACCAAGGCTCTCTACCAATGATCTTACTTCACCTTTCCTTTGCTTTACAGACCCATGAAAGTCGTAAATGTGAGGATTGGTCGTAAAGTTACTTTTTCATTACCTTCAAAACTGCTAAGTGTTACTAAGCAAGGCAGTCACTAACAAGAACTACCTGCAATTCTTGTTCAGTAAAGGTGTTTCCCCTCTTCTTCCAATCATATTGAAGGGAACCAATAATAAGGATATAATAAATAATACTAGAATATGATATACTGGTATACTAGATTCTGTAACCATTAGGTTCCTGTAATACATATATACCTTTGTATTTGTATCACATATATTATGCCTTTATATTTGTATCTCCTGTAACAAACATATTCTGTTATTAGGTCTCTGTACTGTATCTGGTATTTGTCAGACATATGTTCCTGCCATTTGATCTGAACCCATATCAATCTTCCTGTTTTTCTTGTGCCATCTAAGAGCTTGGTACATATCTCAGTTGGAACTGCAGACATCATCCGAGGGATAATTTACACTTCAGCTCTAATTTACACCTTTGATCTGTATAAGCTTGTTCCTTGCAGAACCAGGGGGCCAAATGAGCAATTGGGAGAACAAAGGAATGCTCAAGGAAAAGATAACGCTAATTGGGAGGCTTCTATTCCTTTGCAGGGCAACAAAGAATACTTGAACCTAAATTAGGAGGCCAGAATTGGGCACTAAGCTGATGTCTCTGAGGGTATAAAAAGACACCAAACCTTCCCCAAGGTGTGGCTATCTCCTCGCATGCATTGTATTTGTATGTTCTGCATATAGTCCCACCCAGTATTTTGTTTTTGGCCATAAATAAAATCTGCTTTTTTTGCAAGCCTCGTCTTGAGTCTCTCTCTTTGGCATTCTGGTGACTCAAGTATATTTTGGGACCTTACAATACAAACAATGGATAATGTCTCCACAATGAGGCTGAAGTTTGTGATCAATAACTAATTCTGCCTAGCTCCTATTGGCTATCTATTGTGGACATGCTCGTTCCCCAAAACTCTGGCCATTGCTTGCTTTATTGGGCAGCATCCCACTTCCTTCTTGTCGAGCACTTCACTGACTGAACCACCTCCTTTCTGCAGCTCAGGTGTTAGATCACTTGATTTGAGTCTGGGGCATTCTATTCTGTAAAACAGTATCGGCAGTAAGAAATGGATTCTGCGCAGTAAAATGAGAGAACAGTTTCTGTTTTATAAAAACAAAAAAGCAAAAATCACACATCCTAGATAACAGCCTGCTTGGAACCAGGTATTGACAGATGGCTTAGCCACCTGTCAACACGTGCTTTTTCTCCTAAGAAAGTGCCACCAATTGCCTTGTTTCAATTGTCACACATTACATTTGTGAGAGCAGCATCGTTGATCCCATTGCTGACATATTTTAAAAATATGTGCTCAAATGGACATAAAACGGTAAAATTGCAGTATATGTTTTTAAAACAGATAAAAATCTTCCTTAGGTAGATATTAATTCTCAAGCCAGTCTGAGGAACTAAAGCTCAACCTCAAGATATTTTGGTTACGTCTTTTAAGTGGCACTGATATTATTTGGTACTGATAGGATAAAGCAGGGCAGGATGACATGTTCTAGTTTTATGCCTTGGGTCATCAATATGGAACACAGTGTGACATTTAGCCTGGCAACACGTTCCTTGGCAACTGCCATCTTTTTCCCCCACCTTGTTTATTTTGTAAAATCTTTTAATTAACAATAATGAATGGGAAATGGCATGTTGCACAACAAAGCATCAGCCTCAAACTTAACCTACATTGGCAGCAATGCCGCTGGGATCCATTTAGATTTTAGCAGCATCAGATTTTTTTTGAAAAAAATTAATAATAGTGGGCTGCTTCAGCCTACTGTTTTATGATTGGTGGGATTTTTCATGATTGCCTGCATCCATCTTGGGAACTATTTCATGAGAATGGGTGTAACACTCTCAAAGTTCAAAATGTGTCCATAGGCTGAAACTCCTGTTATATACTGTCAACGGCACTTTTGCAAAGAGATCATTTATGAATGCCGATGAGTCAAAAAAAAAAATACATATACATCTATATTACTATCAATAGAAGATAATATTTGTAGTTCAGAGTTCAAATGTGCGGTCCTGACTGCGCTTGGTTGTTTTCTTGCAGACATCTCATTACCCAATTGGTAACATCAACAGTGCTAGAAGGGAATGTTCTCTTTTTATATACTAATGACTTGTCTTGTCACTGTTAATGAGGGTGTTCTTGGTGGTTCCTTGATTAGGCTCTTGTATATTAAAAGAAAGCAAACCCCACTCTCTTATGACACTGATGATGTTACCTAGTTGGCTAATGAAACATCTGCAAGAAAACAACCAAGCTCAAAGAGCACCAGAGACCCCACTATATATTACTGCCAGGATATATAACAATATCAGAATCATCATATGTGTGCTCAAGATACTATCTGATTAACATGGAATATGAAGAATTTCTGCCTCCTGATTAAGGAATTTTGCAATAGAAAAAACCAGTGACACTTAGAATTTTCTTTTTGCAACTGCAAACATTTTAGAATTAACTTACTGTGTTGAATAAGAGGGCAAACGTAAATTGTGGCATATGAAATGATGAGAAGAGGGCAAATATAAATTGTGGAAAAATTAAACTTACTGATCTTGCATTTTCCCCCTATATGGATA